GTGTGTGTGTGTGTGTGTGTGTGTGTGTGTGTGTGTGTGTAACATGTTTTTGCTTAGTCATGGTGGGGTATGCAGCCTGAAGCGAGTGTATACCTTTGTAAATGTATCGCTCACTGCTTTTCTTTTTTCAGTCTAGAGGATGTGGCTGTTTTTAGCCCCTCTAACAGTTGTAGTGTTGACATTATCTGCCGGTCAGTCCATCTGTCTGTCCTTGGGTGAAGTTTGATCTGGAGGGAAGTGTGTCGGTAAAATGCTACCCAAGGTGAACAAGTTTCATATTTATAGTTAAATCTTAGGTTCAGAGCCACTGCGTTTCTGGGAAGGTGATCTAGTGAATATGGATCTACTCTATGCTGTCTTCTGGGTGTACAGGTCGAAGGCATACACAATGGACGCACTTGAACAACAGATCACTAACTATAAATGCTTCAGATTTTGCTGTAGTCTTCTTTAGGATAAGAGCTCAAAACTTTCATCGCTGTTTGCTTAATTTGGAACAGTAACTGCTGTAAGCATCTCTGGCTTCTGATTGGTTCAGATGTTTTAACAAGCTGCCTGAACTTGTTAAATTTAGTTGAGGCTAATGAAGTCAGAGAGCACAGTAGCCTTACATGCTGCTTGCTATGTTTGAAGTCTTTTATTCTTCTGCCACATTTCTTATTTTGTAACAAAGACCTCCGAGCGCCTCAGAGTTGAGACTTTGACTCGTGGCCTGCCCACTTTGCATCGCCACAGGTCATTATGCCTTGATGTCAACTAAATGTTCTTGACTCTCTGATGTAATCACTTCCTGTGTGTACTTCACTTCAGGCTTTAATTCCCATTTAAGAAATGGACCCACCCTCAAGTTGCTTAATAGCTGAATAGTCCCCGTATATCGTTCCCTATAAGCTTCTATGGCAGTAAGAAACATAGTTTTAAATGGTTCTTTGTAGTATTATCACTTTGACTTTCAGATCAAACTATTAAGGAGAGGTCAAAAGTGACATATTTTAAGTCTTTATACAGTAGGGTTCTATATATCAATAATGCACACCAAATTGTAAGAATCATAGATTCTAGATTTTAAGGCATTTTATCAATTTTCAACCAATAAATCATTGAGTTGACCTTAGTGGATGGAAGCAAAATTTTAATGGTTTGTTAACATGACCCCACTCTACACCCCTACAAAGTCTTATCAGAATACATTCAAAACCTTTCTGAGCTAATGTGTTTACAGACAGACTGATAACACGCAAAGGTTCTACCGAGAAAAATAACCTCATTGATGAAGGTAAAAACCAAGAGTAAAACTCACAGCTATGTTTAACAGTCAGGGTAAAAGCATTTCCACACACAAAGTGTAACGCAAAATCAAGCGATTCTGACTAAATGGCTGTGTAGCTTTAAGAAAACCACGTATGACTGGGGGACCTTCAGTTTGCAAATCAGAATAGAGGTTGGACTCTGGAGCAATGGGCAAGGCCCAGGTGGTCTGAACTGGATTTGCCCTGATCCAGAGCAACAGGTATGACAGGGTAAGAAGATCGGTGGATGAAGTGATTCACTTATCTTGTTTGGTGCCTGCTGTAAAAGTCCGTGGGGGCAGTGTGGTGATCTGGGGTTGCTTCAGTTGGTCAGTTTCAGCAACATTGTGTGTCCAAAAGTAAAGACTGAATGACCAGGCTTTTCCATCAATGGCATATTTTCTTCTACATACTTAAAAATGGAAACAATTTATTTGGCTCAAATTGTAGAACAGTGGTTGAGGGAGCATGAGACATTGTTTGCCCTGGATTGGCCACAACAAAGTCTAGATGTTCAGGATGTGCTGGAGAACAGTTTAATCCCATCATCAATGGAAGCTATTTACAAAAAAAGGAATGTAACTCTGGATGGCAATGAATGTTGTGGTGTTGCACAAGCTTATCAGAGCTAAAGATAGTCCAACAAAATGTGACTTTTGTTTTTGGTTGAGCTTTGTATTTGTCAGTATGTGCAGGTCACCTCAATGATGGTGTGCATTTTAGGACCTACAACAGCTTCCAGCAAACTTGACCAAGATAAACATGCTGGTGTAATTCAGTTTATCGAATAAGGACCTGTTGGATATAAGCAGAATTTAAACTCTTTTTGTTTGTTTGTTTTTAGCGGCACAGTCTGCCGTCTTGAGCCGAACTATCAGCAAAATATTGAAAAAAGAAAAACCAGATAAGAAGGTAAGTGTGACAGCTATGATTCATGTGTTTAATTTTCTATATGGTAAAGCTGCTTCTTAGGAAATACGTCTACTGAAAAACACACAAACTGATAATCTGTCCTTTTCTTGTTTATTTAGTATGATGGGTATACTTCATGTCCCTTGGTCACAAGCTACAACACAGTAATCCTGGCAGAGTTCGACTACAACGGACAACCGCTGGAAACGTTCCCCTTCAACCAAGCCAAGGAGAGGCGATTAATGTACCACATGAAAGTAGATGTGATGCCTCACCTCTATTGGCATGGGCTTCTTAGGTATGTTTACAGTTAATTAACAGCAGTTAATTAGCAGCAGTTAAGCCGCTACAACAACAGCTTTGTCTTTATTTGTCTCACGACAGGGGGCTGTGGGGCGGACCGGGACCTTACAGGAAAATCATGCATCTTGGGATGAAATGAAACCTCATCTTCAGTTTGAATCTGAAAGGAAATTCATTGTGTAATCATCTACCCAAGGGTGCACACGCATATGGATAAAGGAGTAATGTGAATGTTTTGAACATCATGATTAATCGGTCTCACAGAAAAGCTCATTTAAGTAGCGTTTTTGATATTACTGTGGAATTAAACGACTGGAATGATGGAGTGGGTCTAAACTGCTCATAGATCAGCTGTTTTTTTTTTTTTTTGTTTGTTTTTTGGGTTTTTTTGTTTTGGGGTTTGTTTTTGTTTTTTGTTTTATTGGTACTTTTGACAGCCCAATGAATGGCCGGTCTAGATGCTTTCATAAGCCAGAGATGGGGCTTTTATAGGGACCGAGAACAAAAGTTTGTAGAACACTCTTACTCCACACCTCTGGTGTTTTGTTTTGTTGTTGTTTTGTTTTTTTCAGTTATAGTTGGTCGGCATTGGCAAAATTTATATAGTGACATTAAAAAACCAACTCTAAATTCAGATTATTTCAGGGTAGCCTTTAAGCACAGCATATAAATATTACTCTTTCCCAGATTGCTACATTTAAAACCGTGCACATGTGTACAGTTTAGTCATTGTGCATGAGATGTGTTCAAGTCTTTGGCTTTATTTAGAGTTTTAAACTAATCAAGCTACCACACATTGTGTAGGATTTGCCATTTGGGGTGTTTGAACATTAACCTGCAGGCTACAACAAGTGCTTTTTCTTGCATTTAGACGTCAGTGTCTGAAGTAGAGTTTTGTACATGATGATTTTTATTTTTTTTTTTATTAGTTCTCAACTGAGGCGAAAACATCTTGGTGGCTGTACAGTCAACGCTAGCTTCATTGTATTAAAACAAAAAAAAAATCCTATAATCATTAAAATGACTGAAGCTTATGAAACCTCACGTCAGACTGTTATTGCAGGATAATATGAAACAACAAATGAATTGTTTTGTTATTGCATTAATTATTACTTAATAAAATTACAGTATTGGACTTTAATGAGCAGCTTTGATTTGAAATGGTTAAATCTGAAAAGCGGTTTTCAGACACGGGAGGGAGGCCAAAATTTAATTGCACACTTGTGTAAAATTGCCCGTATGTCCTCTGAAATAAGAATATGATAGGCTCTCAGAGGAAGACACTTTCGATAGCACTTTTGCATAATCTGAATCATCTGTTTTACCGGATCACTATCAATAGACTTTGATGTGTACTTGTATAAAAGTTGGATTTAATTTGCAAAATCCAGAGACCTGGGTCACTGGATTCAAACAGACTACTCTTTATTCTTCTCTCTGCATGTTAAAGGTCATCAGCAGGACTACACTTCTTATTGCAAACTGGCAGAATATGTCTTCAGTTCGTGATCACCTTTCCAGCAGCAGTTTAATGTCAACGTTAAAAACATCAATAAATGTCGGAAACTTGCAGGGATATTTAAATGACTGTCTCGGATTTCATGGATGTCCAGAGTTTGGTTAAATGCCACGTTTAATTCACTTTCATTTTTTTTCCCCCAACAAGAGATGATCTAAATTTGACTAAAAGCTGAGCCTGCTTTTAGTCAAATTATACAGTATAATGTGGAGAAGCTGCTTTTGTTTTGGGATTTTGTTTTTTGCTTGCAAGATTTTTGAAAGTCTTAAAACGTCTGAACCATCCTGGCCACTGTCCTACAAAAAATGCCAATTTGCAGTCCAAACGTTCAGATTCGGCTTAATTAATACAGGATTCTTGCAGTCGCACAACAGCACCAGCAGGGATAAAATGTGACGGAGAGCCCGGGTCCAGCTGCGCACATACTAAAGCCATTTTCCTGTTGACTGCGCTCGCCACGTTGGTTCACCTACGTGTGTGTCACATTCTTCTGCGCACCGCAACGTTATGTTTGTGATGAGGCGGGAAATGGCGTCCGCAGACATGGTCGATCTGTGACTAGCTACTGAGCGACGGACACAGCTGGCGGCAACAACCACGGCCCGATCTTTGTCCGTGGCCGCCACGGTCGTGGCCGAGAGCTGACAACGCTGCGGGACGTTTTGAAGAGCTTCCTAGATCATCGGTAAGCATCGAACAACGTCAACATGTAAACAAAAAGGCTTGTCCCCCCCCCGTGAAAGCCTGACTCCTGCTAGCTAGCAGCTAACGTTGGCTACCGAAGGGGGCGTAGTCTCAATTGCTAAAGATGGTTACGGGAGCGAACAAAATGACGCGTTAGCCACAGCGAAGTTTGCTATAATTACCTTTATTTCACTGAAGGATTAAAGAGTAATTTCCATATTACCTATAGATATGCTGTAGGAAGACACACTAGAGGAGTTTTTTGAAGCGGAGGGAGTAATGTCACGAAATGGCTTTTGCTGCCTTTGGCGTTTTGTTAGCTTGCAAGCTAACTATAGTTTGGTTAACGTTAGCCACAGAACCCACTGACAGACAGCGCCTGTTTTACGCTAGCATTAACAACAGTTCTGTTAAGCCTACAGGTGTCAGTTCTGACTACGTAAAGTCGGCGGTGGGCCAAATAATGCGGGGCATCAGCGTCAGAGCGGTGTTGTCTGTGTAGTATTGATGCTAAATGTCAGCGGTTGGCTAACGTTAACGCCAACGAACGCAGCTACCGCTAAGGCAGCCCGTCTGATGTTACATAACGTTAGACAGCGGTGCTGTTTGCTGTCAGATCTCATTCAGCAACAACTTAGCAAACATATATAAACACAAAGCCTATCCTCTAAGCAGCAGCTAACCTCGGATAACTCGAAAGCTTCATATTTTTGCTAACTTCTGCTGTTTACCACCCACTCCGCTGACCGGTCCGGCTTACACGAATTTTTTGTTTTCATAACTTTTCTTTCATTTATACCGGAGTCGAGTGGCCGTGACAGCTAAAAAAAAAAAAGGCAAAGGTATGCGTTTCATCTGAACTAATTTGATGATCTTCCTTAAGTTACTCAATTGTCTGCACACATTTTGACTAGATTGGTGGTGAAGTGTCCATAAATCGTGGGTTTTCGTTGCACAGCTTTAGCACGCCAATAAAAACGCATTTGACTGTATCTGCGAAGGGAGACAGAATGAGGATGTGAAAACTGTAAACATAAATAAATACAACTTTAGGAACTTGCTTCTTTGCTATAGTAAACTAGAACCACACACAGTCATGTCAACGTATGTGACCTGTATTTACACGTATTTCATAAAACAAGAATTTGCGTTGGAAACTGAGGGGAATTTAGAAGCTGCATCAGTGTTTTTCGTGCATTTAAAAAAAAAAA